GAAGTACTACTATAACCTTTGCAGAAATGCAAAAAGGGAAGTAAATAGCATCTACAGTAAATCTCTAACATTTATAGCTTTGAAAGACAGTTTCTATTCACTTTCTGGGTCATGTTTTGAACATCACATTTCCAGCAGTGTCCTTGGAGGTCCAAAACATGACCTTTAAGGTGAACACCCCTCCCCAGCTGTCATTGTGAATATGTCTGAGAAACACAATGAAGCACTAAGAATTATTAATTACTTTAAAAGGGCAGTGGAAAACGGCATCAACCACCTCTATCCTGTGTTGGCAGCCAACTCCAGGCGGCTACAACAACTTAACATTTAAGATGCCATACATCACAATCAGTGACGCCACTTAGTTGATTGCTTACACCTGCATTAAGAAGGTGTTTCTCAAACATAACAGCTATTAATTGGAGGAATAGAACATCTTAGGTACACAGTATGCAGAGCAAGTACTGTATTTTCAAATTTTAAAAACACTTTTTGTTTAGCAAGGCCACACTTAATATGGATTCAACAAAGGAAGCAGACTGGATTAACACACTTCATCAGCTGGCGGTGTGAAATATAGAGTGCCATGACCTCAATAGTATTGACTGAGATAGGGGTCAATGTATGCGTAAATCCTTCCTGTGCATGCATCAGTCAGGGTCAGGCACCATTAAGTTCCCTATTAGCCTAGTCAGCCCTGACATGGTAGCTCCAAACCTTTTCTCCTTGTGACCACTTAATATGAAGCAGGGTCAACTTGCGAGCTCCTGTCATAGAGTATATATCTTCTGAGATCATCCTGGTGTTTTTTTGTCGTCACACTGACTGACTCAATGATTTTTAGCCATGCTAGCAGTATGGCTTTATGAATGGCAGTGTTGGTGTTGGTCTCGACTGAAATATCTCAACAACTAAAGGATGGATCGCTATGAGATTTTGTACACATTTTGATGTTCCCCAGAGCATAAAGCTAGCAAACTTTGCTGAGCGTTCCTTTTGTGCCACCATGAGACTGACATTTTTGATTCTGAATGAAATATCTCCACAACATGGTGGCTCAGTGGTTAGCACTGCTGCCTCACAGCAAGAAGGACCTGGTATTTCCATGCAGAGTCTGCATGTTCTACTTGTGTTAGTGTGGGTTTCCTCCCACCATCAAAACATGTATGTCAGGCACCTGGTTAGCTCAGTCGGTAGAGCTGGTGACCCATATATGGAGTTGCTGCAGCGTCCCAGGTTCGAGTCTGACCTGCGGCCCTTTGCTGTGTGTCATCCCCTCTCTCTCTACCCACCTTTCCTGTCTCTCTA